TAGAAGTGCTCAGTTTCCAGTGCTAAATCAATGATGGCTTCCGTTATAATACTCTAGCACACACTCACACACTCAGATTAAGATCTTTAATACTTGAATTTCCCTCCCCCATCATAAAAAAATAATGTATATAGTATGTGCTGAGTCATATCCCCAATCTGTTTTTATTTCTTGAGACTGGGTCTCCCTAAATTGCTGGGAATGGCTTTGAACTTGTGTTCCTCCTGCCTCAGCCTCCAGAGCTGATGAGATTACAGGTGTGCACCATCGTGCCTGGTTGTACTATATTATTATTTTTTGGGTACCGGGAATTGAACTCGGAAGCACTTGACCACTGAGCCATATCCGCAGCCCTATTTTGTATTTTGTTTAGAGACAGGGTATCTTTGAGTTGCTTAATGCCTTGCTTTTGCTGAGGCTGGCTTTGAACTTGCGATCCTGCCTTAGCCTCCTGAGTCACTGGGATTACAGGCATACGCTACTGTGCCCAGCTAGTACTACATTATTTTTTAGGAGCAGTTTTATCTTAACAAAATCTGAGGAAGGTAGAGATTTCCTCTACACCCTCTCACTCAAGTTCACAGTCCCCCTACCATCACTGTACCATACCAGAGTAGCACATTTGTTACAACTAATGTACCTGCATTGGCGCATCATTATTACCCATAATCCATAGTTTACATTATAGTTCACTCTCAGTGTTGTATATCCTATAGGTTTGGATGGATGTATACTGACCAGCACCCATTTCCTTTCTTGTTTTGTTCATTGTTCATTCTAATATGCTGATACCATTGCAAGATCAAAGAATAGTTTCACTGCCCTAAAAGTAGTCAGTTCTTTGTCTATTCATTTCTCCTTTTCCAGGAGCCTCTTGCAGCCTCTGATTTTTGTGTCTCCATAGTTTTACTTTTAATAACTTACACAAAACTTTTTACCTATTCATGTGTATTTTATATATCAAGAGTCTATATTGGACCCCAATACATATGAATTGTACTGTCATGGGGTATGCTCATTATAGTCACTCAAGGGTACAGGTTGGTAGGGGCAACAACCATCATGTTGTTATGCTTGGAAAAAAAAAAAAACAGTAAGCTTGGGAAGGTCTCACAGTCCATTTTTGCTTACCACTCATTATCAGAAAGTTACATGATTGCACCAAATCACAAGGGGACCAAGGCAACCAAAACCTACAATATGCCAGGTAGGCAGATCTGGGAATGTTTGTTGAATATAATTCAAGACTTCCAGTATATACTGTACCTAGTAGAACTGAGGACACAAAAGAAGTCATTTTTGCCACATTTAAGCAAAGTAAGTGAAATAATTTAAAAAATTTGTTCCAGAGATTAATCAAAGTGAATAACGATGAGCACAAAATTAGCAAAATCTTTATTACATACTGTGGGTAACATTTTCCTTTTTGTCTATTGTGCTAAAAATAAAAACCACTCCAGTGAAGTGCTGCCTCTGGTATAATAATCAAGACATTTTGATATTGCTGATACCAAAATCACTTCCTTTTTCTAAGGGTTGCTGTTAAAATGGGCTAAGATAATGCTCAAATTTAAGCCCACCAACTCCTGCATTGGTTAAGTAAAATAAAAGGTGTGAGTACAAAAATATTTTCTCTTAAAGAAACAGAATGAAATATTTAAAAAGAAGAATCTAAGTCACAATATTAATGTTTTCATAGTCAATTAGGAAAGTTGCTTAATCCCTGTGTGCTTAGGACAAGGTCACTTCCCCTAGGATAACACATATGCAGTAGTGGGCAAATGAACATTTTTGATAGGGTCAAAGGAAAAAAAAAAAGCAGCACAAGGTGACAAAATCTCTGAACTGAACTTCTTACCTTGACCCTATGCTATATAATAGCCCTGAATCTATAACAATGCCATGGCCAGGATATGTGGAGCAAACCAATTACTGTCTGCCAGTAAAAGTTAAGACCATGATTAAATTTTCTAGGATTCCCTTCCCAAGTTATTTCTCTTGCTTTTCCCAAGTCTTAGGCAGACAGTTGAGTTCCATCTATGACTGGCTCACAAATCCTTTGCTGACTGTGCCATCTCCCTGTTTCCTACATGTCTTTCCTATAAACCCACGGAACATCGATATCAAAACACCATCAAAGATGTGAGTTTCCTTTGTATGCATCTTCACCAGGGATAAAATAATTTTATCTTTCCAAAAGAAAGGATAACACATATGCAGTATTTAAATACTATCTTATTCAAACAGTGCTTTAAAAATGCATTTCCAAAGCTAATTCCATTTCTCTTTCTCCTTTAGATATATGGAGACGTTATTTTCATCAGGAAGAGTGAGAGTTAAACAGAAAACACCCTTTAGAAACATATGTACATTGATTTTTGTCAGCTGAACTCCCAATTTGCTGAGGAATGACAGGCCATGAATACTTTAAGCTTCACTCTCCTTTTTCTGGTGGTAAAAGACTGCCTAACTTATTAATGGTAATATGCAAAACAGGAGTATCATCTTAAAATAAATATACTGCAAGTTTAAGTCTGGCTTCTTGTCCCTTTTCCAAGGCCTTGCATCAGATTTAAGCAAGTTGGCATCCTTCCTGGGAACCCTCGAAAGTTGAGGTTTCCTCTTCTGCTTTGTGAGTGTGAAGCTGCAGAACTGTCTCTTTATTAGCTTTCAGAGTACTATAAGCAGTTGCTAAATCTAGACTTTGAGTCCTCATTTGTGGAGAATCTGATTTAGTGGGATAGAGCAGAGGATGTTTTTAAAAAGGCTCCCCAGCCAGCCATGATACATAGCAAAGCCTGAGAACAAGTGATCTGTACCACTCTCAAAATTACAGCTTACTTTTTTTTTTTTGGTATGTAGATTGAACCCAGAGGCACTTAACCATGGAGCCACATCCCCAGACCATTTTTGTATTTTATTTAGAGATAAGGTCTTGTTGAGTTGCTTAGGGCCCAAGTTGCTGAGGCTGACTTTGAACTCTTGATCCTCCTGCCTCACCCTAGTAAGCCACTGTGCCTCACTAACATTATAGCTTTCTACCCTTAACTATGACAAAGTCAAAACCAAAATGGGTGCAGAATACTGAAGTTTCAGGATAATGCTGTACATATAATTTTATTAGTTAATGACTCCTGATTTTTTTAGGGGTTTTAACTTTTTAATATCTTTTTATCAAAGATGTTTTTAAAATAACATGATTAACAGTTTAATAAAAACCCAGTTAAACAAGTTATTAGAAATCATGTATATAAAGCCTAAAAGTAGTCAAAAGTAGAAGTTATTTTTTATTATATTACATTTATACTCCTGATACCTAAAATCGTTTTTCAGAGTAAATTATTTACAATAGAAAGGGAGGCAATATGTATTTGGGTCATTTTATAAAAATGCCATAAGATGAGGCTGTTTTTAACTTTTTCTCTTTGGCTTTTTAAAAATTTATTTATTCTGATTTGCTATACATGATGGAAGAATGCAATTCATTTCAAATTACACATATAGAACACAATTTTTCACGACACTGGTTGTACACAAAGTATTTTCACACCATTCGTGTCTTATACATGTTCTTGGGGTAATGATGTCTAACTCATTCCACCATCCCCTTCAATAGATGAATGGATAGGAAAACTTTGGTATACTTACACAATGGAACATTACTCAGCATTAAGAGAATAAAATCATGGCATTTGCAGGTAAATGGGATGTAGTTGGAGAATACAATGCTAAGTGAAGCAAGCCAATCCCCCAAAACCAAAGGCTGGAATATTTCCTTTGATATGAGCATGCAGACCCATAATGGCAATGGGGGTGGGGCATGGGAAAGGAATGGAAGAACTTTAGATAGGGCAAAGGGGAGGGAGCAGAAAAGGAGGGGGCAAAGGGGTAGGGGGGTAGGAATGATGGGGAATGTGTTAGACTCCTGATTTTAAAGAGAATGATTCTGAAGGAAAAAGATGATGCTAAAAGCTGGGTTCAATGGTGTACACCTATAGTTACAGCTGCTTGGGAGGCTGAGGCAGGAGAATGGCAAGTTCAAATCCAACCTCAGCAAAAGCAAGGTGCTAAGCAACTCAATGAGATGCTGTCTCTAAATAAAATACAAAATAGGGGGCTGGGAGTGTGGCTTAGTGGTTAAGTGCCCTGGAGTTCAATCCCCTGTACCCCCCCCGCCCCGCCCAAAATAAAAGAAAAAAAGGGGGGGAGTGGGTTGGTGATGTGGCTCATGGTTAAGTGCCCTGAATTCAATCCCTGGTACAGAGGGAGGATAAAAAAACAAGATGATGCTAAGAAAGCAGATACACAACTTCCATGTACTTTTCAGATGTAGTTCAGAAGTTAGGAAAATAATACCAAGCCAGAAAACACATTATTGACTTATTTCTAATTGTAATCCCCACCTCTGCAAAAGACATTAGTAAAATTACAGTACAAATCAAATGCCCCCAATGATTTGTAAAAGACATGACCAATACTGAATATCAGTAGCTTAAAGACCAGAGATTTTTGTGGCTCAAAACTTTCCTACATTCAGAGCTCCATTAGAGAGTAATCCAAACAAAATCAATATAATTGCTTACCAGAAGATTGCCCATATTTTCTAATATGTGCAAAATAAAAAGCATCTATAGTAATAGCATTCTTCCTGCTTCAAGCTATTAGGAACACTAGGTAAAACTAATAATCAGTGGTCAGAGGTATGTCATACTGAACATAACAAACTGAAATTTAACCAGGACTAATCTGCCAAGTCTTAGTGTAACTCTTCCTTTGAGGAAGACCTAAAAGGCTTGTATACTTTAATGATTTTAAGTACTCAAATATAGCTGACTTGGATTTAGTATATTACTGTGAAAATATATTCCCGAAGTAGTAATTTCTTGCAACATCAATTAGAAATTCAAATATCATTTACATTTAAGTCTATACAACACATACACATATGGATATTAATTTTCAGCGAGTGTACAAAGCTTAAATAATAGAAAATACAAAAATTTCAGATGTAGAAAGTGCCATTTCAGCATAAATTTATTTTTGTGTTTACTTTATACAAAAACCTTACAATGCAGACAACCACTACATGATGATCATAATCTTTTGCTTTTGTTTTTTTCTTCTTTAAATACAGATAGTGACAGAGAAGATGGATTAGATGCAGTCAACTTTTTCCTCAGTTGGTTCATTTTTTAGAGAATTATAAACCATGAAACTAAACTGAGTAAATGTTGGAAGTTTATTGCAAGCAGCACCTTGGGTCAAAAAAGAGAAAGATGTGTGGTTAAATATAGGATGCATATATTTATAACCAACACAGATATTGCTATTTGCCTGGACACTGGCAATTGTATACATATGTACAACAAAGCTACAAAGAAGTACCTTTCTTAGCACTGAGTAGTTATAAGAGAAAGAAAGAAAGAAAGAAAAAAAAAAACCCAAAAACAGGTGGTGGGGAAGCAATCCCCTTGAACTTCAGAAAATCTGCGATTGTCTGTTCCATACACATGCTGTTGTTTCTTTTTTAATGTTTTCATGTCCCTTTCTTACAAGAAATTATTCAGGAACATCATCCAAAAATTTTATTTCCCTAGCCTCTAGAACATTCCTATGATCCATCCATTAACACCCCCCCGCAACATCACTGCTTCTTATTCTTTTCTACTCTGTTAATCTCACAGAAAGAAGAGTTATTTGACAAGGTGCTTTTTGTCTTGGGTTCATCTACTGCTTAAAAACCCTTGGGGAGATGTCCCTTCTACTCTCATTACTTCAAATGTAAGGTACTAGTCATTTTAAATTCATCTACAATTATATAATTAGCATTTTCCATCCTATTAAATCCAACTCCGAGCCTTCTACAGTTTATTTCTTAAGAGAATCAATGAAACTGACTTATTTCATACATAAAACCTTCCCTCCCCATAACTCTTACTAACTTTTGTGTTTTAGTACTTAAAAAAGAATAAGGAATTCCTCAAACAAGTTTTTCAAATACAGACATGTGGGAAGTAAAAGATCAAAGAAAATAATAAGCAGTCTAACCTAATAAGTCGTATTGATCAATAAGCTGTATATCTTCCCCATCTGAAAATTCACTAATGAGAATCAGCAGTGGTTGATCTTAAAATGCTTTGAAACTGTGATAGGCTCATACAGAAAGTAAATGAAGCAAAAGACATGCCTCAAACACAGTGCAAAAATAATTCTGCAAACTTCTTTGGTTTACAAATTAGTAATACATTTTGTTCTTTTGGAGCTCCCAAAAGATCTAAATGGCTGAAATATTTAAGTAACAACTAGAAAAGAAGAATGGGAAATAATTTATCCCTACCTCTTTCTAATTAGTAAAAGCATCTAACTAAATTAGTACATCTCAACATGTAGGGATAAGAACTAAGAGCCAAAGAACAGATCATAAATAACTACCGGTAGTCAACAAAAAAGGCTTTTAGGTATATTTTAACACTTAGTGGGCCTTGAAAGACCATCAATTAACATTTACTCAGAGCCTACTCTACATAGTTCCCTTTTCTACTGACTAGTATATTGTACAATATAGTAAAATAATTTGCATAAATCAAAATTCAAATTCAACTTACCGTAACTTCCAGTTACATTGGCACATATAACAGCCCCAAAAAATTTTGGAAAATACTTCTGAATTCTTGAAATCACTTTTTGGCAAGCTATAGTTGGATCTTCTCCTCTACTCATATATTCTACAGCTTGGTAGCTGATTTAAACAGAGGGAACTTCAGTATCACAGAACAAATGCAAACTCCAAATCAGGTAACTTTAATTAGAAATTTAAAACTAACAAAACTGTCATATTTGATAGAATACATATAATGAGTGGGAGTGGCTAACTCTCACTAAAGCATCAACACTGAAGCAAGGAAATCTTGATATAATGTCATCTATTAAAGTCATCCACCATTAGTTTCAGACTAAGAAATTAGTTTTTTTTTTTTTTCTGGCTTAGTATTTTTTGACTTTGGCTGAGTTTCTGGCTTAGTAATAATAACCAGAAATCACAGAGAATAGAGGTTACATTTAAAAGAGAAAAGGTGCTACTATTAAAGGAAAAAATAATGTACACGTATGCAACATGAAGTTCTAGTAATTAACTGCACATAGGGACTATGTTTCGTACTTTCATCAATTATCATAGCTCCCTGACTTAGTGGACTTACATTTGAATAAATCATAAATATTCTCATCTGTGAAGTAGGGTACTATTCTATTTCATGGAACTATGATTACTTAATTTGAATGATCATTAAATGATAGGCAAAAAGTTTGTATATAAATTTCTCAAAAGCTCTTGTGCACAATCAGATTATGCAATACAAAAACTCATTTTGTATCTTGACAGAGAACATATCCCCTATAAAGATCTCTAAAATTTACAAACGTAAGAAGTCATACCTTGGCAGAAAACGCATCAATATATCACCATTACCAGTGGCTGCAGCTGCCCCTGCAGTATCATCAGCATATGCCCCAGCTCCAGGTATTGGTGAGTCTCCTATGCGACTTTATAAGCACACAGCATAAGAATTTAGGACAGAAAATCAAGTGTAAAATAAATTATATTATGAGCTGTTTCCAAAATAGAGGATATTTCCACATAACTACTGATTATTGTTTTAAATAAATTCTTCACAACATAGAGAAAGGACTTTTGTTAGTTTTTCAACTTAGTTTTCACAAACCTACATTAATTAAGAATTTATTATCAGACATGGAGTATAAAAAAGTTGAACCTATAGAACTGATGAAAATGGTGGTTGCTTGATACCAGGGAGTGAGGGAACTGGAGACATGTTGGTCAAAGGACACAGATTTTCATTAAACAGGAGGAATAACTTTATGAGGTCAATTGTATATCATGGTTATTATAATAACAACACCTTTATTACTGTCTATTTGACAATTGCTCAGAGCAGATTTTAAGTTGTAATCACCACAAAAAAATAATTTTGTGAGGTAAGTTAAATCACTATGTCTGTGTATGTGTGTATACATATATGAAAACATTATACATATGTCATAAATGCTTTTTACTTGTCAATTTAAAAAATGAAAAAAAAATTGTAATCAGCTTGTTACATGCCAAGCTGACATTCAAAGATTTACAGTTACTTTTCTATAATTACCATTCTTTATCATTTGATTTCTGAGTTATTTTAAGAGGCTCAAAATTGATTTTCTTTACCTAACATCTATTCTTGCTTCCTATGCAATATGCCAAACTCTTGACAAAAGCTTTTATTTGTAATAAATCTTTAATCCTTTTCGACCACTTCAAAATAAAATTTAGAAGTCCTTAAACTAACATAAGACTCCTTGAAATATGGTTCCAGTCTTCCTTTGCAGTCTTACCTTCCACCACCTGCCTCTCCACCATGCACTGACAACCTCTTCAGCCAGCAGAAGCCCTGAATCTGAAGTGAGCACTACTTTTACTTGCCAGTGCCTTTGCTGTGAGGATCCCCTTTCCTTTCTGTGACTCAAGGATCAGTTCCTAGCTAGCAACACCTTATTGGCATTACTAACTACTTACTTTAAGCCACCTAAACTCTAAAGCACTGGCTCTGACTCCTCCTTTGGCACTTAGCAGATCTAATGTGTTTTCTTTCACATTTATCTACATCAGCCATGAGGCTGGCACTCTACTTGGTTGTACTATCCTCCATAGCACCCAGCACATACTGCTTTACATTATATATATTTGAGAGTTCTGTTCTTATGAAAACACTAACCCAGGTATTTTGAATTTTATACCATTTGTAGATGTACCAGCAGCTGTACGTCCAGTTTTATGGATGACAACCATACCTGGAAGTAAACAAAAAGTTGTCAGTACCTAAAGTTTACTTCAAATATAACAACATTATTGAGTAGTTGATAACTTCTTGGTCTGAATGTTGGCTCCCCAAAATTCATGTCCACAAAGTGATGAATTTAGGAGGGAGGCTTCCGGGATGTGATTAGGTCATAAAGGCATAGTCCTAAAAATAAGTCTATTACTTTTATTAAAGAGGCCCAGAGAGCTGGCTAGCTCCTTCTACTGCATGAGGACATGAAGAAGACATCACCCATGAGCTAGGAAATGGGCCCTCACCAGACACAGGATCTACTCATGCCTAGACCTTGAACTTCCAGCCGCCACAACTGTGAGAATTAATTTCAGTTGTTTGTAAGTTACCAGCCTTTGTACTGTGTTTTCACAGCCTGAACTAGGAAAATAATATAAATATGCTCTCATTAATTTCACGTAGAAGTAAAGAGAAAATTTGTGGATAGTGAAAATTATATCAGTAGTATAATTTATGCACTGTGATGACATGGATTCATACTGTCATTTGATAGACATCCCATATCCTTCCTCTTCAAATTGGTGAATTACTTTCCTTTTTTTTTCCCCCCCAGGGGTAATTCCAAATAAAATCACTAAAATGGACTAGTAGAAAAAAGTCGGTCCTAAAAACTTGGAAAAAATTATTTAAGGCCACTTTAATATAGCAAATGATAGCCAGGCACAGTGGCATATGCCTATAATCCCAGTAATTTGAGAGGCTGAGGAGGATTGCAAGTTGGAGGCCAGCCTAGAGAAGTTAGTGAGATGCTTTTTTAAAATAAAAAATAAAAAGGCCTGGATATGTGAGCGGTGTAGCTCAGTGGTATATCATCCTGGGTTCAGTCCCTAGTACCACCAAACAACATAAAGAACTAACTATCAAAGAATTAAAAATCAACACATGAATAGTCATATTTGATTTGGGGGGTCTTGTATAAGCAATTTAACAAATACATTCATGTATACATAAAATCTCTCTTATTTATATACATACCAAAGAGAAAAAATGAGAGAGAGGCACTTACTTGCCAAAATCAACTTCTAGTACATGAACAGGGATGAAGAAGGTAATTAACTTTTAATCATGAAAACTGTATAAAAGACAAATTACCAATAGTATCATGACCATAATCATCTTCTGCTTTTTTATAGGTAGGATCATCCTTATTTAAGATACCAGGTGGTTTGTAGGGTCCACAGTATTTTGAAGCATCTGGTATTACATTCTGTAAATAAGATTTAAGTTTTATTTTTAAGAAAGAGTATCTTAGAAATTGACAAGTAGTTATGTACAATCACTTAACACTAGTAAGAAATATATGTTAATGTGAACATAAAGATTAGTTGAGTCTTATGTGAAAATTGATGAATATATAAGTTTACAAAATTCCCATGCTAGTCTCAGAATTACATAATATGGGAGATATATAAAACACATAGAACAGGTCCCTGAATTTTGTCTTTATTTGCTAAAATTCTAAGCACAATACAAGAGTTTTTTTTTTTTTTTTAATTAGATATTAATCCAATGGAATAAGGTACAACACAATGGTACTCTTCAGAATTTTTTTCCTGGATAAATAAGAATTCTGAGATTTAAAACCACTGTTTGCAATCCACTTTTTTCTTTCCAAAGCTAGGCTTATGAAATATGCTCTAAGTGTGGTACTCTGGATTCCTTTTAAAATTTTTTTTAAATATATTTTTTTACTTGTTGATGGACCTTTATTTTACTTATTTATATGCAATGCTGAAAATTGAACCCAATACCTTACACATACTAGGCAAATGCTCTACCACTGAGTTGCAAACCCAGCTATCCTTTTGAATCTTAAAGGCACAGAAATATAATCCACATTTATGAATTTAGGTGGTATACATAGATTGGTTTAAAATAAGGACTGGGTGAGGTGGTAGACTCCTGTAATCCCAGTGGTGTGGGATGCTGACCTAGGAAGACCTCAATTTTGAACCCAGCTTCTGTGAGGCTGTCTCAAAATTTACAAAGGGCTAGTTATATACTCAGTGATAGAATACCTGATGGGTTCAATCCCTAGTGGCATAAAAATAAACAAATAAATAAAACAAAACAAGAAACTACTACAGGTTGATTATCCCTTTATCTGACATTCTTGGAACCAGAGATATTTTGGATTTTTGATTGTCTTGGATTTTGGAATATTTACAAGTATACCATGGGGATGGGACTCAAGTCTAAAGCAATTAATTTATATATCATATACAAGTTTGTTTTGTATACAAGTGGTCTGAAGGTGATGCTATATAATATTTTTAGTGCACCTGCATTTTAACTGCAATACATGAGGTGTGTAGAGTATTTCACTTGTGGAACCATGGCAGAGAGTTCTGAATTTCAGATTTCTGGGTTCGGGATATTCAACCTGTACACATTATACATTAGTATACTAGGTATCTTCCCTATTCTCTTTTATCAACCGTCTTTTTCCATGGTTAATCCCAGAGACATATGGTAATCAGCAATTAGGGAAAAAATAAAAAAGATGAGGCCATAAGATAATCAAAGAAGGAAACTGTATGGAAAAGGCAAACTAATTTGTGCTAAAAATTCCATTAAAGACAAATTATCCCATTAGTAACAAACAAGACACCTAATGGTATAAATCTTTAACTGAAGTGATGGGAAGATGCTGGATATATACTTCATACATATACTTATATATACTTCACACAGATAAGATCTGGAAAATATTTCAGACTTATGTTTCCCAAACTTTGACTTTTTCAGCCTTTATCCAAGGAAATATAAGCAGAAAATCTCTGATGGGGGCAGCTCCAATTCCCAGAATCTTCCTAGTCTGCAAACAACTGCCAGAGACCAGTAGTTCTTCACCCTGGATGTGAACCAGAGCCTGCTAAAGGAGCTCTCATGTCAATGCCCAGAGAGACAACTTAAATCTCCAGCTGTAACATGTAGCCAGGATGCTAAGAAGCATCCTCAGCAATAGGCAGGCAAGAGAGAACTGAAAGGAAATAATTTTAATATTTTCAAGTAATTTATTTTTGAGATTGAATACATATACATACTCTCCAATTATTTGGCTGGCAATTCTGAGCAAGCCAATCCGAATGAAGAGCTTGAGAAGCATTGGTAGATAAATCCTCATTGGTAAACCCCATACTTTCAGCAAACTTGGTGGCTGGAGATTAGGAAGGAAAGCATAAATTAACAAAGTATCATCTTTCGAGCAAAATGTATGTGCTGGAGGCATCCTAGGTCAGCTGCCTCTTATATGTGGTACACAAAGACATCCAGAGGGGTACACAAAGTTTTCTCAAAGAGTTTTCACACATGAACAACTTCAAGGAAATCAATTTCTACATCTTCAACTTCCATATGTCCTACTTAAAGCTGATCTGCTTGAGTTCCCTGGGTTGTGTGTTATGCAGAATCCTTTGCTACCTCACCTTCACCATCTCCCTCCATCTTACCAAAAAAAAAAAAAAAAAAAAAGGCACACTCTCACTAATATGGACTCTTACTGCTCTGACCAGTTGCAATGATCATGATCAGGGTGTAAAAAGCTTTGTGACAGCAAAGGGACAACTGTATTCAACTGAATGAGTACCATTCTTTTATTTGTCAGGTACCTTGAGATTTTGTACTTACAGCCAAACTGAAGGAAACCTAATGGAGTCACTAGATAAACATATCATTAAAAATAATTTTTGATTATAGTCCACTGTATAATTTCTAGTATATAGTCTGGAAAGTGTTCAAGTAAGTGATGTTGTCATAGCATATTCCTTCTAGTCCTATCTTCTTATGTTAATAATGCTCTCTAGGTTAACGATGCACCCATAAAAATGTAATAATATGGGAAAAAAACTGATGGTGAACACTATTTCAGTCCAGCATTTACTCATCTATAGGTAATAAATTATTATTATTTTTTTAAATCCTATTTTAAAGACAAAGAAAGTAAGGGTTAGAAGTTAAGTTACCTATCCAGTTAAATAGACATTAAGAGCTGGAATTTGAACTGAAGTCTTTTCTCTTTGGATTCTGAGTACTATTTTTCACAGGGATGACTACAGACAAGACTAGAAAGAATTTCAGTATAGTTAAAAAAATACCTGACTCTCCTGCCAAAAGTGTGTGTGTTGTATGTTCTAGTACTTTCCGTGCCACACCAATAGCATTTTTAATTCGTCTAAGATCTCCTACTGCTCCTACATTCATGGTAGTGCTGTAAGAAAAAAAACGTAGTATATATTAAGATATTTTCATAGGTTCATAAATTTAAAAATATTGCTGTTCTCTAAGCAATAATGTTTTGTAGGATAAATTCCATCATCTTGCACAGAAAAGCAAAAAGCACATTCATGAAGTTCATAGATTTCCACAAGATCAGAATTAAGGAAAAAACGGAAAATCAGTTTACCATATATTCCAACAGAACTAAAATTCTTAAACATAGCTTCTGAAAGAGGCTGCAAGGTTTCTTCTGGTCAGACAAACCACAATATTTGTGGATGTCAGGTGAATGATGGTTTATAAGGTCAGAGGCAAATTTTCTCCCTGTTACAGGAGAAGATCTATTTTCATGTATTATTGATATTATTAGGATAAATTATTCACTTTTAAATAATCAAGAGGGGAAATCCTTGTGTTTGAAAATGCCAAGTACAATAAGCTAGTGGTTCTGACCTGTGACAAAACTCACACCTTCTCCCATCTTGCTCTTAGGAGAAATTACAATTCTAAATGTAGCTTAACATGAAGCACAGACACAGAGAAGCAATCTCTCTGAAAGGCATTCTTACCCGTCCATGATCATGGCATCCAGAGTGGTTTCCCCAAGTTCATCAGGACTTCCTCCAAAGCCTACGGAGCCATCACACTGCTCTTTCTCACACATAGCACAGCCATTCTCAATGGCATCGAGGGCAGAACCACCAGATTCTAACACCAGCCATGCTGTTAATTAAACCAAATAATGCTCCTTTATATATATATTTTCCTGATGCCAAATGCAATTTGAGACTTCCTATTTTAATTTTCCCCGTTTTTACACTCAGTTAAACTGAAATGTTAGCAAATTAGTTTATCAAGTGTACAAATCAGAGACAAAAATTACATCACTATAAAGAATTCAAAGAATTTGGCTACTGCTACAATGTGAAGTTTTTTTTTTTCTTTCAATTTTTAATAGCTATTTTTTCTAAGAAAAGCAGTATCCTCTCCTTTATTTTTAAAGGTACAATTGAAACTACCCAAAGTTAAACTGACAATCTATTAAATCATCACCTCACAAATTTCTTCTGCAAAAATATGCATAATTATTACCTTTCTTTTTTTTTTTTTTTTTGAGGTAACACCCATTCCAGGACAGTCTCGATAAAATTCTAAGAAACAGTTACAAGACAGACTTCATATGAATTAGTTCATTTAGTCTTCTTAACAGTTTTTGAGGTAGTACTGTGCAATTCCTCATTTTAAAAAAGAGGAAATTGAACCATAGACTTAAGAAATTTTTTTAAGGTCACTCAGCTGGTACCCAGCAGAGCTTGGTTTTAAAAGTAGTTACTTCAGCTATGGTGGCCATACTTTTAGCACTGTGCTGTTCTGTGGATCCCTGTACATTGGGGTAGGGGAGGTCTTCCTTGAACACTTTACCCATAAAAACAGAATTCCTTGAACAGCAGGTACTGTCAATAAGCACTTTAATTAATGTCACTAATGGACCTACAGGCTTGAAAGTACATTCTGAGAAGTTTCCTGTAAGGCAACTTACACAGAATTGTCCCCTGCCCAGATTGCTGGGCTTCTTTGGGTCTCACTGTTGCTATGAATCTCTTTCTCACAACCTGATTCCTTTTTTTCTATGATGCCTATGCCCTCCCTATAACATGGCAGTTTACCTCCTTCAAATTCTGGATCCAATTCTGCCACCAGAAAGTTAATCTATGAGATGGGATACGAAGGGTATGAAATTACTCCTGCAGTAGTATGTCTTGAAACGAAAGAAACAAACATAATACGATACGAAAATGCCAGGAGATTGGTATATACAGGATAATATCACGGAGCAAAAGATGGGAATCTGATTCCGATTGATTAAGTTTAAGGGCATTAGGGAAGGCTTCCTGGAAGAGGGGATACCATAAGCTTTGTGGTTCTCAATCCTCTCTGACTGCCAAGGAAAATTACATAGGGAGGTTTCGTGTTTTTTAAAAAGCAGATGACCTAGTTCCAGCAGTTGAATCAAAATCCCAGGAGGTGGGGCTCAGACACAATGATTGTTGAGAAGCTCCATGGATAATTTTAATGTACAGTCAAGCTGGAACCTCCCAATCTAGGTGACAAGGAAAGGATATCAGAGTGTTACCAAAAAAAAAAAAAAAAAAAGTTATGTGGGAAAAGAATATGCTATCTTTTGGGCAAAAAAGGTTGTCTAGAAATTAAGAATCCAGGGTACTGAAGATACATGGAGGTGGGGGTGAAAAAGGGAAGGTGGAGAGGTAGACGCCCGGCAAAACTAGGTATCAGGCAAAAACCAGCGTGCCACTGGAAGAGTAAAAGCTGAAAAACCCGAAACGTTGGAGGTCAGTAGGACAGTGTAATATATATTAGTGCGGGTGGGAGTGGGGGGCAATACAAGGAGTGATCCTAAATGACAAGGACTTAAAAACACAGCCTCGGAGGACGATGGAGTAAAGGTCAATTGCAAAAGAGCAACGAAGCGGGCGAAGCAGGCGAAGCAGGCGAAGCAGGAAGGACTGGAAGCCGAGGCTGCGGAAGGCCTGGCCAATCGGGCGCTTGCCTGCCCTGCAGCTGCAATGGGGCCAGCCAGTCGGTCCTCCCCACCCCACCGCGACCTCCTGCAGTGCAGATACCCACCCCCGGCCACCGCCTCGCACCTGCTTCGGTTGCACTCTTAAAAGGCCAAGTGTTGAGGACCAGGGGCAGAGTGTTGAAGCCGCGCACTAGGGTCGGGCCGAGCAGGAGCGGCACGAGAAACACAAACAAATTCGACTTCCGCGCCATAGTTGCGCGCTAAGCAGACAAGCGCGAAATAAGTCCCGGGCCAAGCGACCGGCGCGGACCCGTCCGGAGCTCGAGCACTCGTGATCTCCAGGACCCCGCCCACCTGACGGCCACGCCCTCTCCCTCTGGTGCGGGCTGCAGTCCCTCAACTCTCGCGAGACGCGGCCTTCTCAGGGATCGCGTTAGAGGTCGGTCGTAGTGGAGCTGCAGGGTTCCTTCCGACTGAGGTGCTTCGTATTAAGCGCAGTGCAGAGACATTTACTTTTATTAGTCAAACAAATTGCTGCCTTCCTTGATGTTAAGTATAGATTGAGCTTCATATTGGAAAATTAGTATGAAATCATGCAACTCTGGTTTGCTTGTCCTTAGGAACTTTGGGTAAATGTTTATTGTTTTTGTACTTATTTATCCTCTGAATTAAAAGTGTAAATTGAACTTTGCCTCGTCTAAAATGTAATCTGGAATTCCTCAGGGATCTGAAATGGTTATTGAGTATGGGTGAAGAGTTCTTAAGACCAAATTCATTTTAGATATTTTCTACCCGTACTTTCCCGGCTCAGTCTTCCTACCACAGCTTTCTGTAGGACGTCCTCTCCTTACAAATCCCTGAGCTGGAAGAAAAGGACAATCTGGGGAAATACAAATTGATCCTCTACACAGCCCACTGAAGTGCATCTATGCCTCTAGGCAAGAAGTCTAGCTCCATTCTTTGTTAAAAGTATTTTTACCTGACACCATTAAGTACTAAATAAATGTTTGAACAAAAGGAGGGATGGAGACTTTACATGCATGGTAGAGGCTGTTCATTCTGATATGTAGGTTGCTGCACAGATGTGCAAGCATGGACCCAAAATCCCTTTGGGATTGTGGAATGCTTGCCGTTGTAGCTAAAGGAACAGAAGTCATTTTTAAAGAGCATCTATAAATCTATTCAGACTAGATGGGAGTTGTGAGGCTTACAAAATCTTCAAGGCCCTTATTGCTAGGAAACTGAATACATAACTTAAGCTGCATAAAATAGCCTAGAAGAATTATCCCAAGGCAGGCAACTGCTATTAAAAAGTTAGATGTAATTAAAGGAAATTCCATTTATGGGCTTTTGGAGCAGGAGCAGCCATTTTTGCTGGCATAATGAGCATAGGCTAATACCAGATGAAATGTAAAAGATGGGTGAAATGGTGTAAGAAATCAAAGAAAACATTGTCTTCTGAATTTTCCTTAGCACCTGAGCTGAGAATTGTTTATACAACATAAGAAACTGAGACATACCTTCAGCAACAATAGAAAAATACAATACATTCAAAATTGGTCTCAGTGCCCATTATTCTCTGGTCTGTTAGTATTTCTTAAGGTGTCTGGAGCTGGAACACTTTTAACTCTCTCTGTTCACTCTTCTCCAAAATTCTCTTCCCTTACTTGAATTCAAAATCCTGTTAGAGAAGTTTATCTCATCTATTTGTTGGAGGAAAACAGCTAAATTATATTACAGTGAGAACATCTGGAAAAAAAAAATGTCTCAGTATGTCAACTCTCCCATGGACATTGGTGTTTAAAATAATTAATATGCAATCTCAAAGGAATCCACTTTATTTAGTGTCTTTTTTGTGGCTATTAAAATACTTACTCTTTGGGTCCATTTTGCCTAAACGTAGATTTATATCCATATCTAAGTCTTAAACAAATTAAATTAGTTTATTTGAGTTCCTTCTGGAATATTTTTTGTTTTTTTAACTAACATTTGGAGAATAGTTTAGGTTTTAAACTTGGTGTTCTCATGTTTCTCTCAGGTTTTCTTCTTTTTTGGTGGGGGAGGGGGGTACCAGGGATTGAACTCAGGGGCAATTGACCATTGAGGCACATCCCAGCCCTATTTTGTATTTTATTTAGAGACAGGATCTCACTAAGTTGCTTAGTTGCTTTTTGCTGAGGCTGGCTGGCTTTCAACTTTCAATCCTCCTGCCTCAGTCTCCTGAGCTACTGGAATTAAAGGCATGCGCCACGGACACCTGGCTACTCTCAGGTTTTCATTTCAGCCCTGAGGTATCTGTATCTTTTTGCTTTATTTTGAGGTGAATCCAAATGAAAAGGGACATCTGTTAACAATTAGGTAGTTGACTTAAAAAAAAAATCCACAGTTTTTCGAGCATGTACTCCAATTTTTTTACCCATTAAAATCATTAATTATATGTAACAGCAGTGACATGTAGTATTGCTGATAAATCAAAAAATAGATATAAAAATCTTTTATTTAAAATGCATTCTAAAATGCATTGTACAATTTTGTTTGGAAAAACATCTATATTCCTCAATGGAACTTACTTGTAACTAACAAAACTTTGGGATATTTTCAAGACCTTTGTTTTAAAATTCAGTAACTACACATAAGCTGTGATTAAGTTAGTAATTTTCCTGAGCCACACTTTCTTCATCTGTAAAATGGAGATAATAATAATGTTTTTTTTTCTTATTTTACAAAATCTCATGAGTGAGTCTCATGATGTTAGAGTACTAATTAAATAATATTTTGTTGCTTTAATTGACATTCACCAAATATTCATAAATTGGTATCAGAAATAAGCAAAGCAGAAAAAAATTGATTTGAAATACAGAAATTTCCACAGAAATAATAATTAATTTGATACCTAAATACATTTTAAAGCAAACATGTATAATTTTTTTACTGTATTCAATGGGAGTTAAAAATAATGTATTTAGTCTAATTTGAGCAGTCTAAAATTTAATTGAAATGTTTATAAAGCTGGTGCATGGGAGGGCTGTGAGATTTCTGAATGTCTTAAAAACAGCATCCTCCAGTACTACCAAAGAAAATGTCTCAAATGGAACTTTAAATGTTACAAATATAGCTATCCTGCGTGTGTGTGTGTGTGTGTGTGTAAGATTGAGGGGGGTTAGTTTTGGGCAGCTCCAGGCTCCCCTCCTTTTCCTCTAAACTTCATGGCTTTCAATTTATCAGTCTCACAAGGATGAAGAGTTGAGTCTCTCCTGATAGCATTTGAAGCTGTGGTTCCACAGAGGATTTAACGCTGTAGTTGCAGGGAGTCTAGGTATTTCAAATCTGAGGCTTAAAAAACTAAGCCATCCCCTCCGGCTTTTGCACTGATGCTGTGAAATCCATTTGAGAAACATGCCCATGTTTCGCTACTTGTTCAAAGCTGTAAGCGTGACTTGGCATTGAAATAATAATTTCTTTTTCAAACCTCCCCACTGAACTATTACCTGGGTTATATAAATACAGTCTGTTTATTTGATTGGCATTTGCTCTTGTCATTTTCACAAACTCTTAAGTAATGATTTTTGCTGATGTTAGAGCACTGTGGTACTGTGTTTCTAATTTAAATCCATTTTTATATTAATCCAGGAACACTTGATGTTACTACCTGATTGTACATGCTGGATGTAATTAGAGTCATTATACAGAAGTAAGTGTCATCTTATTATTCTCTAAATGAGAAAAGAAGTATTCTTCCTTTCTGAGATAATTTTTCTGGGTCATGCCCCCCAAACTATTGTTAAAGTACTAGCAAATTCAAATCACAAACTTTCTTTTGACTTTTTAACCTTTAAAAGTCATCTGAGTGATTTATAAAGACCAAGATTGTCTACTGGAATATTGTTGGCCTGTTAAGTAATTTTGCTTCTCAAACTAAGTTATGTGCAGCATATTTTCAATTTGTAACTGTAATATTATGCCACTACTGTAATAAAGGTGTAATGAGGCTACAGTAGATCATTTTACATAGTGGACTCTGCTTTTTATGACAGTTGTTTATAAGGTTATGATGTCTTCATAAATGTGATCCATTACTATAGTAAAGGCCTAGGGCAACACAACAGACCTCATGATGTCTTTCTACCACTTAAAAAATCACTTTGAAATTGTTAACTAGTGTCAAAGATGTTTCTAATAAAGAAATTCAACCATAAAAGCAAAATTCCAAGTAACAGTCACTTAATAATGAGTATTTCGTTTATTTAAAATTATATACATTTGTTGATTATGATTTAATGGGAAAATATTCTAATAATGATTATATATATATCTTGAATGTAACAATGCAAATTGTTTGTTCTTTATCAATGGTTCATACAAACATTTGAAAGAAATGATTATTTTACTTAGTGTTTTTCATTTTCGCTTTTAGAAATACCTATATGTTCTTCAAATACCCCTAAGTAATCTAGTTCTTATTGGAAAATAACCAAACTTTTAATATTTGGTAGGTAATTGGTGAAAAATCTTGGTATTGTATGCACTATTGTATAACTTACTTTTAAATTTAATATGCCTTTAAATTCTTGTCATTAAGAGACCTATCATTAAAATATATGCTTTTAAAATTTTTGTAAAATACAAACATAGAAAGGAGTATTAAGTAAATATATAGACTAAAGAATTTTATAGAAAATGAACACCCACATAATCACCACTATGTCAATAAATAGAGAACTGTCAGCACTTTCCCAAATTTCCTAATTGTCCCTACAACATATTGTTTGAAATGTTTTTATTTTATAAGAGCAATTTTTGGTTCACAGAAAGATTGAGCAGAAGGTACAAAGATTTCCTATATGCCCCTACCCCTATATATAACAGCCTGCCTCATTATCAATATCCCCCATGAGGGGTGGGATACATTTTTACAACTGATGGACCTATATTGACACTGGAAGTCCACAGTTTACATTAAAGTTCATGCTTGTTAATGTATATTGGGTGGGTGTGACAAATGTACAACAGCATGGGTCTCATCATTATTGTTCTGTACAGAGTATTTTTACTGCTTTAAGAATTCTCTGCCTTCTGCCTCTTTATCCCTTCCCCTCCCAATGCATGGCAACTACTGACCTTTTTACTGTCTCCATAGTTTTGCCCTTTCCAGAACATCATTTTGTTAGAATCTTATAGTTCTATAGGCTTTTTATATTGGCTTGTTTTACTTGGTAATATGTGTTTGTTTTCTCTATGTCTTTTCATGGCTTGATAGCTCATTTCTTTTTAGTGCTGAAAAATAATATTACATTGTTTGAATGTACTATGGTTTATGTATCCCTTCACCT